TGTGGCTGGTCACTCTTTCCTGACATCTTGCGAAATGCTCCCATACAACTAAGCGTCTCAAATGGCCTCTGCTGAGGAACTCCTACTCACTGCCTTTTCGTGGTGGAGGTGTTTTCCCACCAAAGTAAGAGGACGAAAAGCCAACATCCGGGGCTATAACAAGGTTGGTGGACCACTGGTATTTCGCCTAGGGGAGTCGGCCAAAAACACTGATTCCAAACCAACCATGAGGAGGCGTACGAACCACACACACACACACAACTTGCTCGTTGTGACAGCAATCCTCGGCTCAATTGGGCATCAATTTTTATTGGGCACGTTGGACGTTTGATCCCGTCCAAAGGGCGTATAATCCGATGAACTGGACACCGGATCCCAATGGAATGTGGTTTTCACACACCACCCCGCTGCCTTACGAGTTAGGTTTTGGCTGACCGAAGGCTCCGATTGTGAATTGCTCAAGGAAATTTACCTGCCTGTTTGGGCAACCTGGCAATATTTGGCCAACGTGCAAATAATGGTACATTTTTCTTCTTTTTTATCCTGCCATGATTTGTTTGATATACAGTCTGTCCCAGACATGTGATATATATATATATGACAGTTTTGTCAAAACGGTATTGATTGCTGTTTTTGTAGCTCGGGTAGTATAACTTGATGTTCAGTTGTTCACTGAGCTTGGCAATTGTATTGCAAACGTTTCATCACCAATCAAGGCGACATTCTCAATGCAGTAAGTGTGTGAACGCTTACGAGTGTCCTTTTTCTTATATAGGTCGTTGAGTCATGTAGAGACGTGGCGTTACCTGATTGGCCAAGGTTTGTTCACCTTGTGCCGATAGGGAATGAGGTGGACGCGAGCAGTCTGACGGCCGGGTCGTTGATCGATCAGTCTAAGCGTTACTGTTGTCACGTGTGACACGACCCGCATCATCACTCAACGACCTATGTAAGGAAAAGGACACTCGTAAGCGTTCACACACTTACTGCATTGAGAATGTCACCTCGATTGGTGATGAAACGTTTGCAATACTAATTGCCAAGCTCGGCGAACAACTGAATATTAATGTAAATATATAATTCATCAAGCCCCGTTGGTTGCCGAGTTCACAAAGATAGAGATGTGAGCTTTGGTCATGCGTTCGTTCCATGCGAACCGGAATTGGGCATCCACAATGAGTGAGACGGGGTGGGGGTGGGGGTGGATAGGAATGGGTTGAGGCTCTCCAATGACGATGATTTTCTGCACAGTTTCAGACCCCATCTGTTTGGTAGGTGTGGGATGCCAATTGAAGCACTTCAGTGAACGGATACCGATGATCTTCCATTGGAGCGCATATTCTTTTTTTGTGTGTGTACAACACCAACAGCAGACTGTGTGCTCGTATTTGTCTCAAAGTAGCAATATTAGTTCTCATAATGAGGTTCTTGTTATTATTGATCACGTTTTGGGTGTGCCTGTCAGACATTTGGAATCCATGACGTATGCATTATTTTGATCAATCGATTCCATCAGGATCAACGAATCGCCCACTGTCCGTCATTGTATTGTCAGGGACATCGGAGGGGATATCTGTTAACTAATCAGCCCACAGTAAGTCTAACCCTTGGAACTAGTGTGCAACGGTGTTGTCTGAACGATTCGGAATCACTTGATTATTCTAACCCAATCAAATTCGACAATGTTGGAGAACAGTTCTCGTTTTTTTAGTTCCCTCTTCACAAATATGTTCACGACATGCAGACAAAACGAGAGTAGAGCCAAATCACGATGACATCAATTGCAATGCGAAGTATCATGCCGAAATCAATTGGCAATCTGAATTACATCTNCAGGTGCAGAATATATTTTGTCTTTTCTGATCTGCCAAATACTTTGGGGAAAACGCCTGATGCAACCAAAATTGTCTGGGAAAGCACAAGTGACCATTCCGGGTGGTGAGGGTGAACGAATGGGGTGTTTGCTGGAACTCACATGAATCCTGACGCATTTGACTTTCGTATCCGGTCATGGAGCCAATCACCTAGGGAGAAACAAGTGAACGGAAAAAGCATTACTAGAGAGAGTGAGAGACACACACACAACAAACGGCGAGTCAAAACTGTTGTCATGTACCAAACAGAATCAATCACGAGATCGATGAATATTGGTTTTTCGCAGTAAACTACCAGCGATCGATCTGTGCACACACTCCTGTTTGACTATTTGAGGGTATATGAGAACAAAAGAACAATACAATCCGTGAACCACACGAAAATCCTTGAGGTGAATCGTATTCTTTTCTGATGGGACAATAACAAAAAAGTGAACGCTTACCGTTCCGCATCTTCACTTCACTTAAATTGAACTCCGTTTATGAGAGGTGGATATATTGACATGCAGAAGATAATAAAAACCGTTCACAAAAATACACCCGAATCACTTTGATACCGCTGCAAGGGGTGGACAGAACGGACACCGTCGAGGCTCAAGAATTATCAGTTTCGTCTAAAGTTTGATGAGAAAAGATATGCTGAAGAGGGCGTCTTTTGTGACCGTTTTTTTTATTATCCTCGGCATGATACTCTATGCACAAATCTCCAAAGCGGAGTTCACTTCAAGTGGAGATGAGGAACGGTAAGCATTTAATTTTTTGTGGTATCAATTTTTTTGAAATTTATTTCAGGGTTTGTGAATGCGAAACAATGTACCTTTTGTGTTAAATTTGAGATTTTTACTCATATGAGTATCGTATGTTACAGGGAAACACCGAAGATGTACGAGATGTGTCAAATGAGTTGACCATACGAGCACATCGGTTAAACATTCTCCAATCGACATATGATGTAGCGTGCGAACGCAACACTTTCTCATTGTCTAACCAAGCTTTACAACATCCACATTTGTAGAAAATAATTTTTGTTTCAGCATTCGTGGGTTTCAGTGTATTCCGATACATTTTGATGTGACTCGCCTACAGCGGTGCGTTGAGGCTAAAAGGACTACGGGTCTTGGTTTAGGTATTGTGGGTTTTGACTAAAGCTTGATGGAAAGAGGTGTAGTTGGAGACCAGGATCATAGGAACAGCGACACGAGTGAGCCACTTACCGGAGTAGGAGCTCCAGAGGAATAATCACTGATAAGAGCCATTTGTAAGGGATACCAGTATNGACAGATCGGCCACGCTCAGATCAATGATAATCTTTGTAAATGGGAAGAGCAAAGAAGAAAAATATGTGATCAATCTCGTTTCGACATTTAATAAAAGATTCTTGGAGTTTTGTGCTTTACAAATTACAGTAGAGCAAAAAAGCACTCTTATTGATCATAATTTCTAACGTACTTCGTCAAAAAGAATGCGAAATTAGACGAGCAGTTTATCCATGAAAACTAGTAATCAGATAACAAATTAAAGTCCCTGTTCGGTCTATTGGTTTCTTGGCTACCATGGTTCAAACTCACACTTTTTTTCACCTCACTTGCAGAGAGGTAGTAAAAGTACAATCAATAAAAAAACTATATTGACGAATCAAAGGCATGTGAAAGACGTCGCTAAAAGGAGATGTTGCTTGGCCGGGTTCCGATTGAAGTCTGAAAACATAGCGTGGTTGAGGCAGTCACTTGATCCAGCTTCAATTTGCTCCTGTTGTAGTTGACAACTCAAGTGAGCTTACATCAACGAAAATTTAAAAATCTCAACACAGGAAAGACCCGATACATGTCGATCATTGAAAACCCGGTGCTATTGACCAATCACAATCCAGCCGATTCAAACTGAAATCATGTGTCCAGAAGAACGAGAGCTGCGATTGGTCAATATTACTTCAGCCAATTATATTCCCTTATATATCGTATCCACTCACAATGATTTCTGGTAGTAAACTACGTCTCTGGCCTTCTTCCTGTGTCTCGCGGGCGGGAGATTTAGACATACGATTGCCCGTAGAATTTCCCGTTTCGATTGCAGTTTCCATTTCTAATTAGCTTCACTACAGTTTCTCTAATTTGAAAGTAAATTTTCAACAGCCGAAAGATTGAGGAATCTTTGGCGTCACAACATGGTCAACACTGAATGAGGCCAAACCAAACCGCGTGCTCTCGAGAAAACCAGAAAACATAAGGGTAAGTGGCGGGTACCGACCTCGTCACTGCTCATCCACCACAAGGCAGAAGCTGCCTGAACGCATCAACGAAAATGATTGATTGTGGATTAGACGCGGAGAGTAACGGGGGCATATCAAGTTCAGTCGTCGTACACATTTAACGAACACACAAACGCTACATTCGCCACCATTTACCGGGTCCGAGAACACAAGTCTAGCAACAGCCGAGGCAAGTATCACCCGATTGTTAAACCAGGATTGTGTACATAACAGAGGCTGGTCCAAACACTTCTCCCACAGCAATAAGTTGACCACGCCATGCCTTAGTGTAACGATAACCCTTCTCTCCCGCTCCCTAGTTTTGGCTATCATTTCCGTGACGGTGTGATTACGTCACATTGTTCTCTCTCTCTGTATCATGTGACTTTCTTACATAAATATGATGATAAGGACAGAGAACAGATGTTCTCTTGTGTTCAGAAATATCGAGTTACGTTTGCCTTTGCAGGTGTGTCCAAATTGGCCGGTTAAAGTCAGTTCTACCTAATCAAGTCTCCTGGGCTAGCCATGGACAAATGTCTGCTTAGAGGATTTATTGCATAATCTTTGTGACCTGCAATGTGTGATGCGTTATAGAGTCTGTGCGTTAGGACTAATGATAATCTCTCGTTAGTAAGATGGTGAAACTCGAGTTCAGGGCTAGCTAAGGGAAAGATTGTCTGGATGAATTGTGAATTGTGCACAAAGATGAACCCAGAATGAAGATCAATCACAATTCAGAGTTGAGTTTTGTTTGGGGTTGTTCCTTCTCACTGCGCTATCGGTACTACTACCACTACGAGTAACATCCTCGACTAACCATGGATTTAGAAAAAAAAACACAAAAAAAGTGGTTTTAATCAACAATTCATTTTTCCGGACGCAGATCATCATCCAACTGAATCGGGACTTACTTCTCCCATCAACGTTTGTTCATTCGAGCTCAGCGCGCAATTCCACACAGTCAATTCCAGATCGTGTTGCGCAATCTCATCTTCCGTGTAATCCGCAAACAAGAATTGTTGATTCCATCGGGGGTGATTGGTTCGAGCGACCAGTTTGGAATACTTCAAAGTGCTATCACTGCAAACGTGAGTAATGAGAACAAAATATAATATTACGTGTGATTCGCGATGAAATGACATGAGGCTTTATGTCGGTCATACTCCATCCAGTTTAATGGGCTCGAACAGCTTGGTCCAAGCACGTCATCGTGTTGGATATACTGTTAAATAATTGTAATTCACGATGAGAATGTTGATATTGCAGGGCTTTCCGGGCTGGGACTATTGTTTACAGACGAGCGGTAGACAAAATCAACACCCGATCCACACCCCTTGACAAGAAAGCTGTAATATTGGACCATATGTAACCTTGGATTGCAATCTGACTAAGTGCTACTTACTCAAAACAACATACAATCCACTTGGATTTTGAGAGAAACTCAGTATCCGTGGCACTGAACATCAATGGTGGACACTGGTAAAAACGGGTTTGTGTCATACGATAATCAATGGAGAACACACTGGACACATGAAATCAATCACCATTCGCCCTCTCCCTCAAGTGAGTAGTAGGTTGGTTGTATAGTGAGTAATTCCGAGTTGATCAAAGTGCATACGACAATAACGCCAATTAGTAATCACCAAAAGAGTGACAATGGTAGAACTACTGAAACCATCACTGTGTCCAAGCATTCCAAATACCACGGTCTTTTTATTTCACAACGTAATATGAAGAACAGTAGACGGGGAAAGTCCCATAGTCACGAAGACCTGCTGTTCATTAATGGAAACAGATAACCTAAGCCTCAGAATTAGGAATGGGGCGAACCACATAAGGCTCCGTTAGATCAGGCGTGGTATCGAACCAGACGACAGCAAAGCTGCCTACCACCAAAGTTGGGTGGCGGTGGCGGGGCTCGAACCTTTGACTATAGGGTCCAGAGCACGAAGGTGATAGAGACTAAACCACCGCACCACCACTACCCGAACTGACTTGAACTCTGTCACGTGACGATGACGTCAGAACTCGCGATCCACTTTGCCCGATTAGAGTTTACAGAACTCCATTAAGATGAATGATAAGCTCCGCGTACACACACACACACACACACACACACTCGCTCCCAACCTGAAAACTCACCATTACCTAGAAATTCATTGACTGGACTAACCCATACGTTACTGCTTGTCGTTTCTTATCAGTTTATACATGACTCAACCTAATATAAAGCCAGCTTATCCAACAATGAAATCTATAGTCGACTTCACGTATGGACGCCCATCTAACTGTAAAATTCTGACGATGAAGTAACTAAACTTATTTACAAACAGTGGGTTTACAATAGCACTTTATTTTATTCCCCAGTTGAGAAGCCCATGTGCACACTAATGAGGGCGAAGTAATCAACAATAGGTAAGTCGACAGGTATTTAACCGCAAACAGCTCCTCCATAATAATAATAATAATAATAATAATAATAATAATAATAATAATAATAATAATAGTGGTAGTAAAACGTCCCAAGCGGCCCCAGTAGCTCTTGAATGAATTCGAGAGCGTTGCAAACTGTATTTATAAGGCTTACCACTATGCTAACGATGTTGTTACTGGGTTCGGGTTATAAGTTTTCACTCCTGAATCATTCCTATTTTCTGTTCGTCAAGGGTTAGTTCGTTTTCCACTTGCTTCCGATCACACAGTTCAGTTAAATCATGTAGTACTTTGTTCTCTTTGGCCTACCGTGTACCTGTATCTTCGTTAGAACCTATGTGAGTAGCGATACGAATTGGCACCATGGTTTTGACTGTTCTTTCACCTACCTCGGTCTCACGATCTCCAATATCTTTCGTTGATCGATCTATCGGTGGAGAAATTTGAAGAAACTTCGATGATTTTTTCTGCTTTTATCTAAACTGTTTATTTCTTCTCCTGCATTTGGCTCAGTCATTTATCTCCACCCATTTGTTATACTACTCTCCCATGATTTTTGCTCACTTAAGACGCAAAGATTATGTGAACCCTCACAGATGCTTTGGGAAATCACTGTGCCAACTAACTTTCAAACCGAGTTAATTCATACTCGGAAAACATTTTCCGCCTGAAAAAGACGTTACTTCGCAATAGACAAACGTTTGCACGTCACCGAGTGGGTTTTATGCTTTCTTTTCACATGTGAGATCCCGGTTTGATCCTCAGTTGAGTTCATGGTTTCGCTCACTGCTGATGAGAACCAACCAGGTCGAAACAGCTGTCCAGTGCTTCCCAGCTTTTCAGCTCATGTCTCATTTATACAACGAATTCATCACATAAATATGATTTATTGGAAATATTGTAATGCCGCATTTAATGCCTTCCCGTAGTGGAACTAATGGCCTCATTTGTTATATCACCATCAATTGAGAATTCAGATTCATTTAAGAAAAGGTTACAAGACAGTATTGAATCGAGTCATTTGCATATACACACACACGGCCATCCACAATCAGTCCGAATCAATATTTAGAAGCCCTGAAACATTGTCAAAGAATGAGGGATTTGTCGCGCTGCACTTACTCTCTTCCCGGTAGAAGTCGAATGCGACAGTACGAATTGCACACCGTGCTGACAGTGGCCACAGCCTGCGGTGTCGGGATTAGGTCTCTCGCGCAAAGCAGATGAACGACCAGCTGACTTTTGTCCAAATCAAACCAAAGACTTAACTGCAATAAAAAAATAACAGAGAGAAACTGGGGTCAAGCTGAGGCACATAGAGCTACAGGTTAGAACTGTCTCCTATAAAAGAAGGCTAGATAAAACTATAAAACCTACAGCGTCGACTAAATCTTGTATTTTTCTTTTTGTCTCATTCATTGTATGTATTCAACGATGCAACCAATTTTCAGGAAGGATAATAGATCCAATCAAACGGGTGCCATTCATAGAAAAAGGGGGAATTTGGGTGTCGTCTTGGTTGTTGTTGGGATTCGAGTCCAGGTACTCCGTCGTGATTAGTTAGCGACCTTAACCTCTTGCAGAACGAATCAAATATTCATTTTTACCTTTTCGTCGATCGAAACATTGTTTTTCTGAAGGTCCTTACTATTAGAGGTTGATTTAATTTGAATCTATTCGTACAGTTTTGTAGGTTTTTATTGACCATTGCTTATTATTTTCATTGGTTTTGATCAACCATTCTCTAAGTTTCATCTTAACTCACAGTCCCCGGTTGATTCGGTCAAACATACAGACGGAGGAAGCCCTGTACTTTTGCGTTTCGCTCCCTCCGTCAAAGCTCATCCGTGGTTCATACTNTGTCTAGGATGTGAACTCGCCGGAGTGCTATCACTGAGCATATCAAATCACACCGGGGTTGACTGAAATTACTTATTCAAGTTTGGTTAGAAGTCATCTTATTTGACGGTCGGTCAAAGTCTGAAGATCGATTTTGCCAAACCAGGGCGATGGGTTCGCACTGCCAATGAGACGCAACAAGGTCAAAACAGCTGTTCAATGCTTCATAACTTTTTATGTTCACGCTTCATTTGCTCGGTATACACGATAAATTCCCTCATTAAAAAAAATTTGATTGCTGCACTTATTTGAATCACATTATAACATCACCTTCTCCAATTCTCTTTTTGTTGAAATGACAGTATGTGGGATTCGAGGATTCATTAGACTATGAACTGTATTTGGATTTCTGATAATAGCTTTCATTCAGTTTGTCTGAAGACACGGAATGAAGCAGAAAATGTGTGAGTTGCTAGACAATCGTCTTTGGAGGAGGGGGGGATAGTAGCTCCCCGTGACTATGTGACTCATCTGTTTTGCGAAACAAAAGACGCTCGGTAGGACTGACAACCGAATAGCCCAGGTTGATGGCTTCTGTCATTTATTTTTTTTTGTTTTCAATCTGCTGTTGAGGCATCTTTCACGGTCGTTGTAAACCTGTCAAATCTTTTCCCGTCGCAACGGTGGTGCCGGATGTGACCCAAACTCTTCGATCTTTCCAAGGTGTTCGCCTGAACTTAACAAGACGGGCTTCTGATGCAACCTCCCATGTTTAAACGTTTTTCGTATTCCTTTACTTGGTTTGCAAGCTTCCTCAGTGACAGTGCCATCTTCGTTCGTGTTCGATAGAGTCATTTCGAGGGCGGCAGCTCAGTAAGCTTCAGTGCTCCGCAGTAATGCATGCTTTCTGTCACTGCTCACTTTCGCCTCATTGACCAACTTTGATTTGGTGTTTACAACTTCGATCAGGATGTTGTAAACGAATACTCGCTACGTATGCACTTGTCCATCAATTCTTATTGATCGGCCAATCACGTGATAGCGTTGATCATGACAGAATCTGACTAATATCCTTCCAGACCGTTTGGTCTGTCAGCCAGCTTGACCTAGTTTTAGACTATCGTTTGATCGACTGATGCATTCTGGCGAATATTCATTAAATCCTTAACCCGATTCCGATGAGAACGGTATCTTGTGTGTTGTTTGTGAGTTGGACTACTGTAAGAATCGAAGTAGATTCGGAGTACGGATCACGAATCACGGCAACAACTGAAGCACAGAATAGCACTATCGAGTGTACGTGTAATGATTGTAATAGCAGTATTATTGCGCATGGAATTCGGAATGCAAACCATGCAAAAGGAATCACCGGACACTTATCTAGGATCAGCTGTCGCGGACTGGATTACGCAAGCACTGGACCGCAATGGTACGAACTCGCAATATCCCAGATGAATGAGACGCGAGGAAAAGGCCATAGGAAGAGTGGTATGTAGTTAGTTTATGGGAAGAAATGAAGGCGATTAAATAATGTGTACAATAGAATATTATTGGTTATCTAGGCCTCCACCAATCGGATTGCAATACTGCTTGCATAATTCTGCTTCTGCCTACACTGCCTCGGACTGGCTGGCACGATCCACCAACGAAGTATAGTCAGAAGCCATGCGCGTGTCATTGACGTCATCTTTCAAATTTGATTGATCGTAAATATCCAGAAACTGTAACGCGCCGCTCCAGGGTAGGCGTCATCACGTAGGCCTGGATCACCGCAGTACGTTGGAATCACTTGTCACCGAGAAAAGGCCTCTGAAGTATATTCCTTAATTGAGGAAAATCAATAGACTGAATGACTTGCACAGAGGAATTTTATTGGTTATGCAGGTCTCTACCAATGACCTGCTTGTATTCTTGACGTCGCACAGCTTCTGTCTGGACCGCACGACTTCTGATTGGTTGGCACGATTGGTCCGGGGTTCGTTGTCCAGAAACTGTGGCGCATCGCTCCGTGACTGGCATTATCGCGTAAGCTGGGATCACCAAAGTTACGGCCCTTCAACAATAATGTGTAGTGATTTTTCGAATGAAATTTGGTCTTAGCAGCTTTCCTCCTACGAATGAGAAGCTATGCTTAGTACACATTCAAACCCCTTGGAAACAACAGTATGCAATGTTCCAACCAGGCAGGAGTACTCAGTGACATTTGGTCATAAACCTCATCAGCGGGATATTCCGCTGTGCTACCTGGCTGTTCTCGCACTTAGCACCACAAACATAACAGTTGCCTATTATTTATCAACTCATTCTTCAATTTAATTCACATCGATACGCAGACAATCAGGTTTGCAAGTGTTGGGTTTGCCCGTAAGTGACCGGATTTTGTACTAATCCAGCCGCGGAGCAATGCATTACAGTCTCTAGACAACTGTGATTAGTCTACCGTACCAGTTGACCCCAGCCAAAAACCTACGCCTTACAGCGTCTGGACAAAGAACCACTGACCAATCGTGCCAACCAATCAGAAGTCGTGCAGTCCAGACAGAAGTTGTATGACGTCAAGAATACAAGCAGGCCATTGGTAGATACCTGTATAACCAATAAACTTCCTTTGTTTAATCCCCTTGATTTCTTTCAATAAACGAACTGCTACTTTTGTGGTCTTTTTCTTGCGTCTCGGTGACGGGTGATACCTATGTACGAGTACCAGTGCGATTGAGCGTTCCAGTTGCGTCCGTGATTTGGGATTCATGATTGGTAATTTGTGATCTGAGCTTACTTCAACTACGACAGATTTTTTCCCAATCCGGCACCTTGCGCATTTAAGATCAACCTTATCGCTGGAGTAGAAGGGATTGGCCTGGACCCCAGTTTTAATGCACGATCTGCTTGCTAAGTGAAATAAACACGTGAGCTCAATACGGGAGCAGAACAGAACAGAACAGAATAGAACACGTGTTGTTCTACGGAAACATGTAATTACGACCATTAATTTGCAAGAGGAAAGTGAGGAATTTGGTTTCATTGTATGGTGAATTTCGTCCAGTACAGAGAGAGCAAATGAAGCGCGTTAGCTGAAAAGCTGGGAAGCACTATTGGACAGCTGTTTCGACTTGGTTGGATTTCATCTATGCAGTGCGAATCCATCAACCTAACTGGGGAACGCGAGCCCGGGACTTTTCATCATACTCATCATAAAAACAAGCCCATTCCACCACTACTCCGATGTGGCAACAAGTCCAATCTGGAATGTTTCCAACCGAATCATAACCATACAGACTAGTGCTGAGATGCAACAAGATAGTAAACATGGGTTGTACTTTCTCGTGTAAAGGTGAAATGAGAAACAGCTTCATCAGCTTCTGGGTGGGTACTATTCATGCGTTCCATCTGCGAGGTATCATGTCTAATCTCCAGCTGGGTCGATGGTTTCGAACTGCTGATTAGGATTTTGTTGTGCTCTAGATTCATACAGGAGGGATGGGACTTTCACTTAGTTTCGATAACTTGGGTTCTAGTTGTTGTTCGGTTGATTGAAGTCATATGTTGAAATTGTGATAAGTTTGGTAGTCTCGGTCAGCTGGATGGATAATTCGAATTTGAAGAGAGCAATACTCGGCCGGTGTGGCCTCGTAGCTCAGTTGGTAGAGCGTGCACTGTACAAAAGCGTAGGCGGCGTCCATGAGCGGGTTCGAATCCCACCGAGTCTACTGAACTTTTCACAATTTCCTCTTAGGTTCTTTCGAACCCATCACGAAGAGACTCCACGTTGACGTGGCATGATAGCTTGCGTGCTTCCATTACCCTGCGAGCTATACAGGACTACTTCTTACAGCCGCAGATCTAATCATGCCTGAAAGGTTAATGGGTAGAGGTCAGACGAAGTTCAGTCTCACAAGACCAGCTGAGTGGACACCTCCGGGCTTTTTTGACTATCCACTCTCACCTCTGGATAGGTCTCTCCAGAAAATGAAGTGAGGGAGGGACAGTTTACCGGTCGAAAAACCCCGCCAGATGAACGTAGAAGCAGGTTACCTGGGGCTTCCTCTCGACGGTAGGAGAAGTCTTCACACTTCATTGGACAGCTACCACCCGCTCAAGCTGGGCAGCCCCTAGCCAATACGATGCTGTCCCGTCCATTTTCCGGTTGCCTCATTGAGTGCACGAGACTAAGGGCCGATCCCGAACAGTGAGCCGAACAACACACTGGAACCAAACCCAAAAACCTTACATGCCAAATCTCTGGAAGCTTCCTTATGAGTGCTTCGTTCACGCTCCCACGTTGGATCTACGCCCCACTACTTTTTGGGTCAGACTTTTGAGTCGAACGCTCCGGTTAAGGTTCCCAAAGAAAAACCCATAAACTCCTGGTACCTTGTGGATCAAACTTTCGAGTCAAATGCTCCGGTCAGGGTTCCGAAAGAAAAATCCCTTCGTTAGTGTGGGCTACCGCGAAGTATGTCAGGCACCAAAGCCTTAGATACCCATTGAGAAAACCCTCTTTCTCATCCATCCTAAGTCTTATGAGATGGCTTTCTCGAAAGCGAATGTTCTGGTGCAATCAGGGTAGCAACGATCATGTGTGTGACTATGTAACCGTGCCTTACCTGCAAAACTGCAGGTCGTCATCGAAACCGTCTTGGGCCATGGTGAACACTGTGTACACAATCCTGTGATCGGCTTGCTTATGAGTTCATTTTCGTGTTTCAGCTTCCAGCAGCATATCTAGGTGTCGACAAGGACGACGTCCATGGAAAACGTCAATTGGCCCGTAGACTAACCGTCACATGGCCCCAAGCACGGACTCATGTTTTAAACGTAGTCTGTTTAATGATCAGCTGACATCCAGAAGATGATTTCAAAAGCGTATCGTTCTATGTTTCTACCTGAAACGGGTTCACAATCGGATCGACTGTTCAGCTCTCGAATACGAAAAGTGTAACCTGTACAGATGTCGACAAGTGGCAATGAAAAAGGGAAGAGTTCTCACGCACAGACTACTAATGTGTCGTTTTTTCTTCTATTTATCTGTTTTCGACTGGACACATTAACAGCGCCGAATGATATCGGTTGTGTGTGATATGTGCATAACTAACAGTGTCCTATGATATCAGCAGCACCTACTTTTCGGTCCTGACAACAAAGCGAAAATATGGGATTCCGGATCACAGGACGGGAGTGCCACATACTGGCATCGCTCGAATCCAGCAGTCAGTCCCCATGGTCCACATATGTTGAATTAAATTTGTTTGAATCGAAGCCAAATGCAGCAGTGTTGTTTGTAATGTTATTGCTTGACTTCTGGTTCCTTGACTGTCAATCGCATAGATGACACCACAGAGTGGGGCCAGAAATGACCGCTCCTAGCGTTCAACTCCTCTTCTGATTTCAGTTGTCCCCGTACCAATTCATTACTCCTGTTAATGGATGGGGCAGCATCTTGTGCAGCACAACGACGATCTAACTTTGGATGCAATACAACGGAATTAAACAAGACACTACCGTTTGACTAATCGTTCACGGCACGATCAACTCGGTTGTATGTAAGGTCAGTTGTTTGAGTTATACACAGCTTGCACAAACCTCTTTGCTAACCCAAATGTGGCTTGATAAAGATTGCATCACAGGCGCTCTCATTATTAGATGGGGTTCTTTGACTGCACGTATCTGTCACGTCATTCAGTCCTGATACCACGCTATTGCTTACGTGTAGAAGGTCATCGTAGAAACGTGATGGTGTTTTGTTACCTGAACACAAATCCGTTGATTCACAGGCGCATCGTTGTGCTGCCCGAGGCCGCATCAATCTGATGCTCGAACTCGTTACCGGGACATGCTAACCTGAAAAAGGTACAGTAATCTGAAATCCCAAACGTGAATGGCAGTTCAATCAATTTTGCAACTGTTGTCCGCCACCTAAAATTTATCCGAGGGAAAATTGCCTAGAACAAAGTAATGTGTTTGCACTGACTGAAAATTTTAACGGTCTCAGGACCGAAACCTCCAATGTTTGAAGCAGGACTTTGGCGGGATTAGCTTCAAAAGAAAAGACAATATTGCAATACTGCAATACAGTGTTTGTTAATAAGCATAACAAACCGAGAATTGTGAAAGAACCGATTGCGTCAGTTCTCAAATTGCGGGTCACATTGTAACTTCAATTCAAAGGTAATGAAGTAAGCCGCCTGCTCTACAAAAGACTGAGGTCAGCAATCGCTCGAACCTATTACGCAGCCGATCCCCAAATCGTCTACCGGACAACCAGGATACCCACACCCCCGGCAAAATAACGTTTCCCTCTGTACGCCAACTCTAATCTAATCTACCAATTTCAATGTGGTTGCCGAGCGACCTACGTGAGCAGAACAGAGCGACAATTACGCCAAGGAGTGGTGGAACATATTCCAAATTGGGTCCAAAATCAGCTGATCCAATCGAGGTCAAGTCCGCTGCATAGAAATGACGGTCGCAACTACAAGACCCCATCCTCAGCCATTGCTCGACATCTGCTGATGACGCACAGCGTTTCGGATTGTCTACAAGTCACGAGTCGCAAAAAGAACTTTATGTTAGTCTCTCCCTATCCTGGTGACATGATCCTTTTACCCCTCCCTCTTTTATGTTTTGTCTGTTTTAA